ACCTTGCTGTCCTCATGGACCGCGCCTCTCAGAGCCCCGTCATTGTCGCCTCGTCGCAAGGTGGTATGGACATTGAGGCCGTCGCCAAGGAGAACCCGGAGGCCATCATCACCACTCCCATTGACATCAAGGTCGGTGTGACCGATGCCATTGCTCACAAGATCGTCACCGAGCTCGGCTTCTCCGAGCAGTGCGTCGAGGAGGCCAAGGACACCATCCAGAAGCTCTACAAGGTCTTCATGGAGAAGGATGCTACCCAGATCGAGATCAACCCTCTGTCTGAGACCTCCGACCACAAGGTCATGGCCATGGATGCCAAGCTTGGCTTCGATGACAACGCCGAATTCCGCCAGAAGGATGTCTTCTCCTGGAGAGACACCACCCAGGAAGACGCCGATGAGGTCAAGGCTGCCGAGTAAGATCTTCCTGGCTTTTATATTTACAACGCTCGAAAGCATTCTAATCTACGGCATAGGCACGGTCTGAACTTCATCAAGCTTGACGGTGACATTGGATGCCTGGGTATGGGTCCATCACACTCGACTGATATGATTTATGCTAACGGTCACCATAGTTAACGGTGCTGGTCTTGCCATGGCCACCATGGATATCATCAAGCTCAACGGCGGTGCCCCCGCCAACTTCCTCGATGTCGGTGGTGGTGCCACTCCCGCCGCTATCAAGTCCGCTTTCGAGCTCATCACCAGCGACCCCAAGGTGACTGCCATCTTCGTCAACATCTTCGGTGGTATCGTCCGCTGCGACGCTATTGCCCAGGGTTTGATCAACGTTGTGCAGGAGATGGGTCTGCGCACTCCCATCGTTGCCCGTCTGCAGGGTACCAACATGGAGCAGGCTCACAAGCTGGTATGTTCTTACCATTCTTCGGGGGATCAGCTTAACGAAAACACAAGCCAACTGACGTGATGTGCAGATCAACGAGTCCGGCCTCAAGATCTTCTCCATTGAGGATCTCCAGAGCGCTGCTGAGAAGTCTGTCCAGTTCTCCAAGGTCGTCAAGATGGCCCGCGAGATCGACGTTGGCGTTGAGTTCACCCTTGGTATCTAATCTCCGAGTCGGATTTGGATTTATAGATGTGTCACCTTGTCTACTGCTCCACTGTCTCTTGTACTCTTTTTATTTTTCCTTTTTCTTTTTCCCTTACTTCCCTCTTGCTTTCCCCCACTCCGATGGCCGGGGATTCAGAAGGTTTATGCGTGTTCGATGGTGCAGCGAGATGCGGAGCAATAGGCCGACGGTTGGTGACCATGGGCTTCGTCGACGATGCTAACGCACTCCTGCTGCCTAGAATAAGATCGGTCATAGGGGTTGTCACAAACGAGTTGCTATAATGGTGAAATGAGACGGATTCAGGCAGAGAGAGAGCACGAGGGGTATCTTTATAGAGAGCATTTGATGGTCCTGTATATCGTCCATTTCTAGGTTCATTTTCTTATGTCAAATGTATTTTCCCTTTTTCTGTGCCCCCTTTGGTGTCGTTGGGTGATAATCCCCCTCACGCTGCTGGAAGCGCCAGATCGGTAGACTCTGGAGGATGTACGTCCTTGAACCGCCACACTTTTACATCGATTTCGTGGAGCAGGAGAATGAAGTCCCTATCGCCGCGGAGAGTGAAGAGGTTCGAGTAAATGCCGTCCGAGGCTTCTCGGGGCAGCCCGAGACTCATGGATTTGGCCGGGCGATGAGGGATTCGGGACGCTGGGTTGAAGATCCAGATAGCCGGTTTCCCCCTATCGCTCTTCACATAGTAGAGAAGATCGCCGTCCAGTACGGTCGTGCAAAAGGGGAAGTAAGGTGTGCATTCTTCCTGGAGCAATGTGTGCATGTGGATTTTGTCCCGCTGCGGGTCGTATGAAACTACAAGGACATGGTGCAAGTTGGACGCTGTCGTTGTCGACGACGGTGTATTGAGTTGAGACGGCGGTGTATTGAGTTGAGACGGCGGTGTATTGAGTTGAGACGGCGGTTTGCAGACAAAGACAGCTAAGTTGCTAGCAGAACTGTTTGATATATCGGCAATGCTCCAGTCAGGTTGAATGGGGGACGGTAAGTGTAGTGTATAGGGGGGAAGTGGACTGGTGATGCGCCCGTGGTCATCAAAGGTGTGCTTTACGACACGTAGTCTGTCCCAAGGCGAATGGTGAACGTTCATGGGATCATCTCCTTTTTCGAGGAGGAGAGTGGTCACGCTGTTGGTACTGGGTTGCAGGCCTATCAATGCCAGGTGGGAAGTTACTTCGATGGTACGAGCAGCTCGCGAGCCCATGTCCCAGTAATAGATCTTGTTCTCCTCGTCACCAGCTGCAGAACAGTGATTGATACTCAGAGAAACCTTGAGACCATTAACAACGAAGATCCGAAAGCTGAAAGCGGGGATACGGAACGATGCGTGTTCTTCCGTCTCGAGGTTCCAGGCGTGGCAGTATCTAGACTCGGGATGAGCTGGGTGTCTAAAGTGTTCCTTTCTCGGCGAAACCACCGCAAGATGTGGTTTATCTTATGTGTACTTACGCACGCGCGCTGATTGCGACCACCATGGAATCGGAGAGACGCAAATCCCAGAACGAATCTCGATTCTCCGTGCAGAACCGCTGGGTGGAGCGCTTGCAGAGATCGTGCACGACGACATGGGTGCCGTTGTCTAGCCAAGCACACCTTCCATTGGCGTAATCCAGGCATTCAAGCTTTGAGCCATCTGTCGGAAAGAGGTTGGAGGCCTGGAGATGGCAGATGGGTAGACCACGCTCCAGACGGATTCTATACTTGGCATATTGGGTGAAGTGGTCAGCTGGGCCATGTTCTGCTGCAAGCACATGCCCTGTGTATTGCTGGTATACAGCACCCTGGATCAATTCTGACGAGAGTAGCTGGTGCCACTTTCTAGAGACCTGGTGGAATGTGGCTTGAACTCAGTCTCGGGGGTCATAAGGGTGGCTGGTCACCTTTCCAAGGCCACCGGGGGGGCAACATACTCTGTGAAGGATATGGAGGTCAGAAAGGTCGAGATACTGAGCGATTTGAACTGCGATTTCTGGGGGGGATTCCGCTAGAATATCCATTTGAAAGGAGCGCTGAATGGTGCGCTTTTGTACATCGCGCCATTCATGGGGGTTCAATAGGTCTAGAATGCGATGATACCTGTCGGGGAAGGGCTGCATGAGCTTAATCTAAGACTGAGGTTTTTGAAGGGGAAAAGAGGGGAAAGGAAGATCATCGACGATGGATGGATGGATGGATGGATGGATGGATGGATGGATGGATGGATGAATGGATGGTCATACGCATCCTGTCGAGCTGAGCTCGTCTTCAGATGAGTGAATAGGGTGATGATTTGCTGTATAGAAGAGGCATCGGCGGCCATGGCTGACGGCCAGTCGACGCTATTCTAAGACTTCTAAGACGAGGTCTCAGAGTCTCAACTACGGAGAGGTTGATAGATGGATAGTAGTTTGGATAGTTTAGACAGTCTGGGTCTGGTGGTGGATGGTACTAGAGGAAAGGGAAGTCCGGATAGTTAGTTAGTAGGGAGTAGAGTGGTTTAAGGCGAGCCGTCCTGCAGGGTCTAGAGCTGCTCAGACAAAGCAGGCACGCAGGCACGCAGGCACTCTTCTCATCTTTCACTCCTTATTCAAAATATGAATGAAGCCTTTGTCGCTACCACTGTATTATCTCTATTAAAGTGAGAAAGGAAGAGTTTCTGTTTAGTCATTTGTTGGATCTCTTCGGTTTCTCGCATTACTTATTCTTTCGAGAATTTATTTGGCCAAGTGCCTATCTAAAAGCACCGACAACTTTTTTTTAGTTAAGTACTAAAGTACTCCGTAGCACTGACTGCATTCTTGATCCATCCACCAATGAATACTATGCAAAGCACGACCTTTTAATTTTTAGTTTCGTTCCCTCTTCCTCTTTCCCCCTCCTCCTGCTTCTTACTCTTCTCACAGACCTTGGGAAGGGCTTACGTCGATCGGAAAGTGACGAGGGGAAAAACAGGAAACGCTGGGTCATCGATCTACGGCGCAGCCCCAGGCAGGCGATCGGAAGGCGAAAAGCCAAAAAGCAACAGGAAGGATGGAAGGAAGGGAACAAGTTAGGTTTTTGGGAATGGATGGACCAATGGAGAGCACGGCGATGCTTCGGGAAGCGGAGACACTTTTTTTTTGACTGGCGATGATCCTCAACTTCCAGTCTGGCCCAGACTCTTCTTGGTTCATCATCCAGTACTAGAACTACCATTCCATCCCCCATCCTGCAATTTTACTACTTACCAGTACTAAGTACTAAGTTGATTGAACTAGAACTACTGGGCTGGCACTGGACCAAACTGGTCATTTAGTTCTTCATTCTTTTCTTCTTGTTTTCCTTCCCAAGTTTCTTCTCTCCACCTTCTTCTTCTTCATCTTCTTCCCCCAAAATCCATTCCCATTCTTATCTTCCAACCCATCCACAACTAAGTATTACCAAGTACTTCTAAACTACTTACTATTTACTCTTTGGGGATTGCTGCTGGTTGCTGTTCTTGCGGGAAAGAGAAAAGAAACTGGCAGGCTTTTCCCCCCTCCCCATCTATCTATCTATCTATCTATCTATCTATTCTTATACCTATTATCATTTATTTTTCTTCCCCTCTACGTCCTATTGTTCAACAAATTTCCCCATCTTTAATATAATTATTTTCTTCGATGTTATTTTTAGTTGATTGCATTATTCCCCTTCATTAATTTACTTATTTCCTTTCGCCCTGAAGAAACTCTGTCTTGGCCTACTTCTTCTCTAAGGCTCAAAAAAGTAAAGGGCAGAAAAGGAATTAAGTACTTTTTCACTTTACGCGAATCCCGTCGTCTACTCTCTTCTCTCTGCCTCGCTCTCTTTTCTCTCTCTCTTCTCTCTTTCTCTCCGTCTGCTGCGGCTCCCTCCTCGGCCGCCCCGTTCTCATTCCTTTTCTTTTCCCTCCTCTTCTCTTCCTCTCTTTCCCCCCTCCCTCCCTCCTCCTCCTCCTGCTACTCCTCCTCCCTCCTCCCTCCCCCCCTGTTCCGCCGCGCGAGATGAGCGGTCTCGCCGATCCCCCGTCCAGAAGTCCGCTTATCCTCACTGCTATCGATGCGCCCGGCAAAACCCGCAAGATTCCTGTCCTTGCCTCCTCCGTTCCTCCCTCCAGCCAGTCCACCGGTGATCCCATGGAGGTTACTCCTCCTGCCTCGGGCGCTGCGCCCCCCATCCATAGCAGTCCCGATAGCGATCGGGCGGGCGCAAGCAACACCACCGCCACCTCCAATGGCTCTACTGAACCTTCCAATGTGAACCACCATGCCGCTCCCACTCAAGCCATCGGTGCGGCTGCTGCTGCTCAGCAGCCAAAGGTCGTTCAGACGGCCTTTATTCACAAGCTCTACAAGTACGTCGGAGGCCATTTTTTGTCGTTCATTCTTCCGTTTTGTTGCTTCCTTTCGAATACCTCCCCCGTTCCCCTTACCCTTCACGGTAACGGGCTCGAGCTAACAACACTGTATAGTATGCTAGAGGATCCCAGTATTCAGCACCTCATCTCGTGGTCGAGTACGAATGACAGCTTCGTCATGTCCCCGACTTCCGAATTCTCTAAAGTCCTGGCGTTAGTCTTCCCCTATCGTAGCCTATCGCGCTCTTGTGGGAACTAGCTGCTAACGAACAGCTCAGTCAATACTTCAAGCACACCAACATTTCGTCCTTCGTCAGGCAGCTGAATATGTACGGATTTCATAAAGGTATGCGGGCTGAGACAGCAAATAGCATTGCCCCGACCGTTATTGATACACATGGATCCCAGTGAGCGATGTATTCCACACCGGTTCGCCAGACTCCGCTCTGTGGGAGTTTAAACATGGGAATGGCAACTTCAAGCGCGGAGATCTTGTGGGTTTGCGAGAGATCAAGCGGCGCGCATCCCGTCATGCGTTGATCCATCGCGACTCATTTCCTGGTCACAAGGCCGCCGCCTCCCAACCCGGCACCCCCGCTGAGCCAGTTCCCGATGTCACCGAGTCCCGCTTGATGAACCTGGAACACTCTATGTATGACTTGCATGCTCGTCTACGGAACGCCGAAGAAGGAAATGCGACCCTTAATGCAAGATGTCAATCCATGGCCGAGAGCTTAACCAGGTGTTATCACGTAAGTTGACGGGCCTCCAATGCGATCGCGACATCTAGTGGTTTTGGTTTGCTGATACTTTTCGTCGTCCAGTGGACTCACTCAATTTCACGTTTCCTCCAAGGCATGATCCCCGATCGCGAGAGCCTTCTGTATCGAGACGGTGAGGACTATCCACCATTGACAGCCCCAACTGCATGATTGACTAACGAATTTGGTGTAGTGGCCTCCATGCAGGCGGAATTGGAGAAGCACCTCGAGGCTGTACGGGCCCTGGAGCAACCTCCGGACCCATACTTGGCCGTCCGACAACCCTACGTCACCGGCATTTCTGGCGATGCAGGTCCGCCGCTGTCGCCGCGCCAAATGCCCCCGGAAGAGAGTCGCCGCCCATCAATGCTGGACCCCTCGAGGACCGGTATGATTCGGCCCCCTGTTCCCCCTCATCTGGCCGTCTCTCCGCGGCGGTACGGGTCAATTGGCGCTGGAAATTCTTCCCCCAGCTACAACCGTCCGCAAGTGCCAGCGGTCGTCACTCCGCAGCAACCTATGCCTCATCCTCTTTCGTCCGTATCCTCTCCGCCTGGGCCCAATCTTGCGCGCCGGCACACTTCGGCGGACATCAGACAGCATGGCTGGCCGCCACCGGGAGTGTCGCCATTCCCTTCCGCACACCCCCCGCAGCCAACGAACCCCTGGTCTCCCTCTCGACACCGGACGCCGACGTCAAGTGAACAATCGGTCCGAGATGTGTTAGCCCAGTATGAAATGGGTGCACCGCGGCGTCTGCAGGAACATCGACACCCAACTCCCCCTTTGCACCCCGATCAGAACCCCCCAACCGATAATGGCTGGTCTTTGGGACCTAGATTCCCTCGACACGAATCGTCCTTGCCAGCAACTCGACGTTCCAGCATGGCCAGCAATGTTCATTCGCTTCTGAACCCGGCTGATACCGCTGAAAGGCCGGACGAAGACCAGCATGCTATGGCCGACGATCGGAAACGGAAGCGATTGGAATAAACTCAACTTCATCATTATTACTTGCTTCATTCATATCCTTGATCCGGGGATTCTCGCAGGAGCATTGCTTGGCGCTGATATTCGGGACCCTACCGGAATCGGAGCTATAGACTTCTTGTTCTTCGGGGCGCACGTTTTCTTTTTTTTATATTTGGAAAGGGGTAAAGGAAAAGCATATCACCAGGAGAAACTCCCTCTCAGCCTTCATTTCTGGACTGGTATTGCATCTTGTGGAGTATTGCCCATCTGTACTTTCTGTGTTTATCTTCTTTCTGGGTGGGAACATCTACTGTACAATTGACACAACATACATGGATTCCAGCATGTGGAACCCGTGCTTACCGGGCATGGTTTGGACGGCACTAATCTGTTTTCTTCTTTTATATTCCTTGGACAGCATTGCTTTCTGATGGTGGAAGGCCCTTGCACAGAGAACCGTTCTCGGGCTGCTCCACCTTCCTGTTGTTATATTATATACCCTGGGTTTGGGGTGGTGGTGCACGATATTGTGTGGGTATAGTAATCTAGATTTGCAGAGGACATAGTGATATCCGGCTGCAGGCGCACAATCAATGAGGTTTTTTTTTTTGGATTAGATGAACAATTCTTGACGTATTCACAAATAACTGTACACAGAGAACTAAATGGGTATATTCATTTCCTCGAGGTTATACATCTGATTATATCGTAGACTGGGTTCCGTTAATGTGAGGTGAGAGGGTATCACAAATATACTTGTTTACCTCTTCTTTCTCTTCTTCGACCGCTCAGCCAGGATCTCATCCAAGAAGCTCGTCCCCTTCTTTCTCCCCCTAGCGGGCCGTGATGAAGCTCCCGGTTGCTTGTCCGACTGATCGGCTTTGCCTTCAGTGCCATCACCGACATCACTCGCCTGCTTTGATTCTCCGGAATCACCTCCAACCGTCTCGGATCCCGTCTGAGCTTGCGGTTCAGGCGCCTTGCGCTTTTTCGCTGACATAGCTTTCTTCTTCCCTATCGCCGCCGTCCGTCCCTCTTCCTCGTCATCATCATCCTCTTCTTCCGGTTTCGCCACCCCATTCTTAGTGGGATTTGTTGATGCAGCAGCAGCATCGTTACCGCCTCCCTTCACAGTCGAAGCCTTCTTCGCAGCCATAACCTTCTGATAATTCCTTCCCAAGAGCTGTTTCCGTAATTTGTCATTCGAATCCAATTCAGTCCGATTCCAACTTCCGTCCACGGCTTTAGTAGGGAGTGGTGCACCGACTCCTAATCTATACATTGGATCCATTGTTAGTTATGACATGTCCATCAATTGTTGTTCGTAGCCAGTCCCCTCCGGCCAGAAGATACTCCATGGAGCCGCATAGACGGGGCAGAAAGGGATATTAAAAAAAAAAATAAAACAAAGGAATGTATCATACGTCTCCGGAACCGCCGTGAAAATCTCATCCTCTTCTCGCTGTAATTCCTCTTCGGTTTTCTTGCTGTTCGCTTGATCGTCTGTCGTCGGTGCAGGTAGCCATGAGGCAACGAGACGCTGGCTCCGAGCTAGCGCTACGTTGGCCTTATTTAGGATAATGTCTGTTTCTGATTTTGATGTTGACATTTTGTCTGCTTTTGTCTATTTTATTATTGGGGTTCGGTGGTTTGATTGCTCGATATGGATGGAACTTTTTGCGATAGCAGGGCGGGATTCGGTGGCAGAATTTCTGGGCGGTGGAGTGCGGGACTGCTGCTTCGGAGGGTTGATGGTATTAGAGGTAGTATAATATTGATGGGGGTTTGTGATCTTGGCTATATCGGGAAAATACTAATTCAATCCGGTATGTAGTGTATGACAGGTAGATTTCGTTAATTGGGAGACTATAATCATGTGTGAATGTTCAATCTCAATCGGGTTAGGATCATCTTGCATATATAATCTAAGCGCCATCATGGCGGAGCAATATATACAATCTACATCTAAACAGCAGTAGTATAGTATATGTACAAATCTAGTCCAAACACCAAGCTAATCCACATCAATCATCACACAAGGGTATTCGTAGTAGAAAAAGAGAAAATGCCACTAAGCAGAAAGAAATGTACCGGGCATCATTTCACGCTGATTCCTGCTGATGCCGTTGCTTCAGTTTCTTCTCCGTTTTCATGAACTCTCGAATCCCCACAGGAATACTCGCGAACAAGTCATCGTCCGAAGTAGGCGCCGACCAATTGGTCTCACTGCCACCACCATCGTCATCCATGCTCATGCTAGCTGAGCGGACTTCCGCTCGTGGGGTATGCCGCATATCCGAGGCATCACTTTTGGTCGCACCCTTCGCCTTGGCTTGTTCAAGCCTGAAGGCCCAGTCCTCCAGCTCGTCTCGGAAATCGTCCCATACGCAGTGGACACAGCCACTCATGCAGCAATTGTCGGGCTCCTCCGGTCGAGGAGGGATGGCCACACCGTTTATGGTTTTCCATGTCTTATCCGGTGCGGAGCCTGGATCGTAGCGTGAGGACCTGCCGGGACCAGCTAACCGAGTGCCGAAGACAATGGCCATCTTTTCCTGTGGTGTTTGCGCCTCTGGCTTGGGCTCTCCAGTCTTGGTATCGGTCGTCGCGTGGTGTCGGTAAGGTGAGCGAGTGGACAAAATATCGTAGTAATAGCCCGATAGCGGATGCGCTTGACGGGACTTGGAGTCATTCAAACTGTCCGCTTGTGTGTCTTGGACGGTGGCATATCTGCGGGTGCTGGAGCGGCGAATGAATGGGTGGACGGCACGTGGTCGGGTCAAGCGAGATGCATCGGGTATGCGTGAACCGGAAAGACAGACATGACAACGTCTGAAGAGGGGCGAACGAATCGCCAGACAAGGAGCGTCCATGGTGAAGTTGGAGTTGCGACAAGAAGAAGAGGAAGATCGGAAAGAGATGGCTGAAGATGAGAAAGCGGCGGTTATGTCATAATCCCGAGGCTGCAAACAGTGCAAACCGGCAAAGCAGTGGATGTTGTTGATGTTTGGGAGATGGCGCTTCCCACGGACGCTCCTCTATCCCCTCTGCAGAGGTTGTCTTCTTCTAATTCCGCATGGACGTCTGATTAGGTGTTCTGTTTTCGCCTCTTCACGAGCCGCTACATAAGCGACCCCGACCGCGATCCCCGTCACCGCGTCCCGAATGAAAGACCCCGCGCCTTCTCAGGATGACCCCCAGCAGCGCACCAGTCAACGGATGTCCTACCAAGCTCCCACTAGAGCGAGCTTAGCCAGATCGCATCCCACCCTTCTCGAGTCTGAGAATAATAAGTCCCCGGCGAATATTATGCAGAAACCGAATCAAGCCCGAACAAGAGCGCTCGGTCTACGAGACCGCAAGGCCCTGAGACCGTCCTTGACCTCGACTGCTAGCCCTCTGGGCTCTCTCAAGGGTAGCAAACAGTCGCCTGCATCATCCCTTTCTGGCCGTCGCTCTAGCGGCCTGGCCGCTTTTGCAGCGCCTCCAAGGCGAGTTTCAACAAGGATTACTGCCTCCGATCTAGTGTTCCGGTCTCCGTCTGCATCCCAACAGAGCACAGAAAAATTACCACCACCTACCGATACCCCGGAAAACCAATTGGCATCAGAACTGGACAGCGCGACCGGTGATATAGATGCGAATGAGGCTTTACCACAGCCGTCATTCCAGGACATCCTAGACGAGCCAGATCTGCCACCGACGCCGACGCAGTTGGGCCTGGAACGGCCTCCCGGGCGGCCAAAAGGTCTTCTAAGCAGCAGCCCAAGCTCGCAACAGGGAAAGTGGGGGAAAAGAAGGAATACAGATGGTCGAGAACAAAGCCCGTCAAAGCTGAGGAAAGTCGACTATGGCGAGGCAGGAGAATCCATGGATTCAGGCCTCTTGTTGGATCGGACTTCCTTACCGGAGGAGATCTTGACGAAGCGTAAATTGAAGAACAAACTCACTTCTGAACTACAGCAATTGAAGAACGAAATCTCGGAACTGGAGACGTGGTCGAAAGACCTGGCGCAAGATGATGCCGGTGATGAGCGAGATTTGACCGGGTTAATGTAAGTTGCACACGCTTGTCGCGCCGCCAATGACTTGCCACTGACCGGCCAACAGTACTTTGTTAGCAGCAACGGGTCCTCCTCAATCGACCCCAACGGCCTCAGGCGAATCCTCCATATCGTCTCTCATCTCTTCGTTGCTCCCTTTTGCCACCAAGGGACCCCCGAAACCCCCACCCGAGGCCCCTCCAGTGAACCCGTTTGCGCTTGGAGAGCAGGCGCAAACAGAAGCATATCTAACAGCCCTTGCGCCGTTACAGCTTACGGCCTACTCTGCAACCATACCTAATTCCACCCCTGATCTTGTCTTAGAGAGACATACTCTCCAGTTTTCCGCCCCGCCTCCCTTCCCTTCCAATCGCTACAAAGTATCTGTAACCTTCGAGGTCAACCCAGAAAAACAAACCTTGGTCTCCATATCGTTTGCTTCACAGGCGAACGGAGAAGATACAAGGACTCCAGAGGATATACGGCGTTGGGTCGACACCAGGCTTGCCAATCCGTTGCTTAAGCTAGATGTCACAGGTCTGTGCTGGGGCATTAACCGATACTGGGAGGCTATGGTATCGCGTGCTGAATTATGGTTACACATGGAGGAACAACATGCAGAACTGATTAGTGGACATGCGAAACGGGACCATGTGACTAAACTGAAAAGCGCAAGGTCGCAACCCTTTGGCATGTCAGAACTGCGTCAAATTCTCCCGCACCTCGAGCGCACGTCTATGCTCTTCGAATCCAAGAGCGGCTCACTGAAAGTTCTTGTATCATGCCAATTAATACTGGACGAGTGGACAAGTGAGCCACAACTAGCACCGGGACTCAGCGTTTCTCTGTTATCCGAGTCCGACAGCGGCTCCAGGCGCAAGGTGGATCAGGAATCCAAACGGCTGTTCCAGTCCATCTTGAATCCGAACGAGAACAACCAAGCTGGAAGCAGCGGCAGCGGAGTCCCTGCTGGCGCAATTCTAAGAGCTACAGAGTGCGTCTTGCGCGCTTTGCTTGGTACTAACTCCAAGAAATGAATACCCGCATCATTATGATATACTCAAGTGCTAGATTTATTGGAATAGATGGATATCAACGGCGTTTTTCCTCAATTTGGATGGGATGGGAAGCGATAGGGGGTTGTCGACGTCGGCGTCGTGGGCTAATTCGTTCAGCGGTCTTTGTCAATTTATCGATCTTTCGGGGTCACTTTCTTTTCATGTAATTTATACGCTCCTGACCTGGCATCTCATGCCCGGTGAATTCGTTGGATATGGATTTTATATTGGATGGCACCCTGTATCTACCTGGGTGGCTTGCAGAGGAAGTGTGTGAGATCTAGGCTATGGCAGCTGGCTGATAGTATTACTTACGATACTAAATCCTCTCAAGTATACATGACCGTAAGAGTATATGCAAGGATCTTATCAGACAAGCTGGGCTGCATGACAGTTATCCACATACATTTAGAATTCATGTCGAAACTACGAACGAACATCTACAAGTATGGAGGTGGTCACACAAATATACTCCGTATATCATCGCATTTGTACACTAGCTTGCTCCGTGCCTCTGCGTGCTTCAAGTCTACCGTTTCCAAGTGAGTATTTTTAGAGGTGAACCCGAAGCCTGAGACTCGGTTTCCGCGTCCTTCGGTAGATAGATCGAATGGGCAAAATCGTCCAGAAGGAACATAAAGATAAAGACGACAAAAAAAAAAGGGAGGTTGGGGTCTTCACTTCATTCGCGTTAGGGTGGGGAGCTAGTAGCTTTCTGGAGACATGAAAATTTGGGACATTTGCATTTCGAGGGGGTTTCGGAGCTTTTTATGTTAAGGACAAAGGTGAAAACGGAAAATAGAGGAGCGACGCCATGCCACACAAGGTACTAATCCCCGACTTGAAAATTGACCCGATCATCATTAGCTGTGATTCAAGATATCTATTTCTTGGCGGCAGACTCCTCATCAGCCTTGGCCTTAGCACGCTTCTCCCGGATACCCTTGTAGCGAGCCTCGCTGCGGGCCTCACGCAGCCGGCGGTAAGCAGCCTCCTCACCCTTGGGGAGGTCGTCACGCTTGACCTCGGTGACGGCCTCAGCGAGAGTGGCGTTCTTGATGGGGAGGGCACCACCGACACGGGTGGCGAAGCCCTCGGTCTTGCCCTCGGCGAAAGCAGCCTTGGCAGCGTTGACCTCCTCAGCGGAAGAGTCAAGCTTCTTGAACTGACCGCTCTTGCGGGGGAAGAGGATCAGGCGAGCCTTGTAGTCCTGGAGGCGAGCAACATTGGCGACGAGCGACTCCTTGGAGTAGTTGACACGGCGGTGGTCAACGGCGATACCGACGGTGCGAGCGAGCTTCTTGGGGATACCAGCTTCCTATAGTGCGAGAAAAAAAAATAGTGTAAGCCACCGTCCAATATATTCGTCCTGCCCAGTCGCCAGGGCCTATTTCCAAACGCCGTCACCAGTTTCTTCTTTCTGGTGACATTGTCTTGCACACAAGGGACGAATTTACCTTCAGCTCAGCGAGGGTGAAACCACGGCCAGCACGGACACGGCGGTTGTACTTGACGGTAGGGCAGCGCACAACGGGGCGCAGCTGGTCAACCGGACGAGGAGCAACAGCGGCGGCCTTAGCGAGACGGGCCTCACGACGGCGGTGCTTGCGGCCAGGCTATTGAAGCAAAAAAACACATGTCAGTCCACCACGCATATAGGAAAAATTTTTCCCATCCCGTATTCTTTTCCAAATAGGCGAGTCGCTCGTTGTAGATAGGAATCGGTTGGGTAAAAGGAAGTATTTTCGAGAGCGTACCTGGTCGAAGTGCACGCGGACACGACGCTGCCAGTCCTTGTGGAAGTCTGAAATCGAAACCCATCAGTCCATATTATTCCAGCCCGCCAGTTGAAACCCGATATATTGAACAATATCCACCATCGTATCCTTCCTCGAGCAGGTTCACTCACGCTGGTTGAGAATCTGGTTGTTGTGCTTGATCGCCTATATCCACCAAGAGGTCCAAGGTCAGCACATGAAGTCCTTTGCGAAAAAATAGCGTCCGATCATCAATTTGATGATCTAGCGACGCCATTTGAACAATATTGGATAGAATAACGCACCATTGTGACGGATGGGGATCAAGGCCGGGAGATTGTCGTCGTCGTCGTGGGTGGTTGCTGGTCGTATCTCAAAACTCCTCGTCTCACTATTAGGTGGAACTTTTTTTGGTGTGGCCAACCGCGCAGAGCCGCATCGCCTCGCTTAGCGAGCCCTACCCTGCTTACCCGTTTCGGAAGGTCACCCCCAGACTTTCTCCGTGGCAGAACGGTTCTTGGGATATGGGACTGCCATCCAGACTCGACTAGAATGATTGGAGTCTTATGTTACATGTGTATCTACGTCAACTTTTATTCTCGTTGCCTGGTGGTAGGCTCACTGGCTGCTGGAGTGTTGCGACTCAGGCTGTGCTTCTACTCTTTGCGACCGACCGCCCGTACTGTATTGTTCTTCCTCCTGGTACTAGTTACTTCCAGATAAGTTCGTTGCCGTACACGCTTGTTACATCGTTACACGCTGAGTAAGACCCATGTGACTTGGCGGTTTGACGAACTTGGAGGTTATCGGGAGGTCCCTCTGCAAGCCATCTACCAAAGCAGTATATGGAATTATTTGCTCGTCCGATTGCAGATAACACATCAGCTAACAATATCTTATTCATGATGACATTATGTCCAAATTTGCCCAACTATTCGTATTGAAGCCATCAACATACTAAGAAACCATAGATATACTCCTGTGTGATAAGTTCCAGATCCAGTTGCCAATATATCGTAGTACCCTTGGAAGAACACCCGGTGCCCCATCGCATTTTACAGTTCATGATCATTCGTCACAGACCCCCAGGAAGGGAAGAAAAGTACATAAGAAACAAATTCAAGATCCAAGCAGCACCCGCTTTGAATAGCAAGCATATCCAGCCATAACCAGCTTTGACCCGCAAAAGTGATAGGCGACTAGGAGTCGTGGCGGTGAGGAAGTAGAAAGTAGATAGACAGCTAGAAGCCCGGTATACGTGATACACACGCTCCATGGTTGTGCACGGGTCATGCTTATTTATTCCAGGTGTCAATGCCGAGACCCACCCTCTCCTCCGCTTTCATTTTCTTCGAAGACGCACCATCAAAACTCGCCTTGCGTTTAAGACCAGTCGATGGACGCTCAACACCTGACTTCCTCACTTGGCCAAACAGTTTGGTCTGCAACAGTGTGCTGGACTTGGGTGCATTCGCGATGCCTCGGCTCTCACGGCGGTTGCTGAAAGCGTGGGGACGAAGCATGCTGCTAGCAAGAGCTCCAGCCTCTGATGCTGGGATGTCTTCCTCCGTCTCAGCTTCCTCGATGTCGGACGCCGATATAGTGCTATCTCGATCACGGTGGCTATCATGAGACTCCCTGCCCGGTGTGTTATATTGGTTCCCTCCAGAGGCCAACCGAGCACGAGACGGTGTTACGGGAACGGAGGCGAGTGTGTGGTTTCCACGCATCTGGCCATCATTATGCTGCTTATAAGTACGGTTCCGGTGTGATGTGGATGTGACACTCGGTGATCCCCGATTGAGGACACGGTCGGCAGCAAGGAGTTGCGCAAACGGGTCATGGCTATCGCTACCGTTCATCTGATGGCCATCGTGCTCCACATAGTGAGGTACAGGCCTCCTTTGAGAAACTTGCATTTCTCTCTGGGGGCTGGGTGACATTGGACCATGTTCAATCATCTGAGAGAAATGCTTCCGGTTATCTCTGATACGCTCTTTCAGCAACTTGTTCTCTTCCTCAAGAAGGTCTGACCTCTCCTTCTCTTGCTCAATTAGCTTCTTAGCCCGACGCAGCCGCCGATCAAGTGTGGCATTTACTCTTCCAAGCTCTTGATTGCGCTTTAGGGCAAGCTCTAGCTCCACATTAGAAATCTGCTGCACTGCTTTGATTTCAGGTTGGCAATGACGGCTGCGATACTCAGAGCTCTGAATGATTTCGACCTCTCTTCTAGCAAGCTGATGCTCTACCTCGGCACGCTTGATAGCTTCGTTACTAGTAAACGATAGCAGACTATTTTGTAGCTTGAAGTGCAAAGCTGACATGCGAGCCTCTTGGGCAACACTCAACAGGTCTTTAGCCATCGCTCGGAGCTTCGACTCATCGGCGGTATCGAGATCATCGGCAGTAGGAAGGTTTTCTGAGGCGCCATAGGCAACACAGAGGGTCTTTTGCATATCGGGAGGAGAAGCTAGCAAGGAGCTCGAAGTAGATCTTGACCGTTGGCGCGGGGCTCCGGGAATTTGCGATGATGGCGGCGGCGTCATATCAGACGAAGGTAACGAGGGTGATAAAGATTTACTCTGGTCGGAATGTGATACTGGCAGTCCAGCGCCTACACTCAGGTCCGGGGATGCAGACAGACTTGCACGTTGCATGGGCGTTGCGGGGCCGGTGATCTCTGCAGGAGGGGCAAGGGAGCCTTGCGAGAGCTGAGAATCAGGATCTTGCGACATGACAGATATCAATATGTAGAAACAGGTAAGTGATACCCGTCGACAGTAATGTTTGACTAGAAGTAGGTCAGCATTGGCTGCATCAATGCGTTGTATTGAACAGTTGTCGTGGGGCGGTCAGACGCATACCAGATCCGAAACACGATCGATCAAAACTACGGCTAGTTTGACGAGCTCGCCAGGATGAAGTTGATTGTCTAAGCTCGGTTGCTGTGTAGAGCCCCTAAGGGCAGGAGCGGAAAGAAGAAGAGAGATATCCTAGAAGGAGCAAAACCACGATGCAATTAAGGATTGACTGCCAACAAATCGGATGTCCTCGAGTCGCTCTATGATGGATAGCTGGGTCGGTGCGCTTATCACTGATAGGGCCGTTGAAGCACGTTGGTTGGACCGAAGCAAGGCACTTAATAGGCGATAAGGAGGCGGTAGCAAAGAGTCCCGAGCGGAAGACCTAAGATAGGGGAGTGATAGAAGACTGATGGAAGACGTTTCCAGAGAGCAAGGGGAATCGGAGAGGGGTATTGCAGATGATAGAGATAGGTGAACAAGATGAAGGAAGTAAGGAGCGCGCCGGCGGAGGGACGGTTTGATGCCTTAAGGATGTTTGTTGCGGGCAATGCGCATTTCGGGGAGGCTGGGAAGTCGCTTGCGATGCTCAGCCTCGACCAACCACGACCAACCACCCGCTCCCACGTGAGCCCAGCCGCGCGCTAATCCTTCACTTTGCCTGAATCAGCTAGCGTCCAGATCCGCGACGCTCAGAAAAAGGTAAACACAAGCCGAACCCCATGGGCCACAGCTATCGTCACTCGGGCAACCGATGGCACTGGATTCATATTGATCCTGATTCAGTATTTAGATCTTCTCTAATAGGTTCAAATGGTTTAGGCTCTAGTAAATATGGCCCAACATGCTTACTTTGCCAAGTGATTAGCAACATTCCTCCCATCTCAAATCTACCGTATGTCTACTCAGTGGAGAACATTATGGGGCTGTGGAATGTACGCTACGTATTCATTTTTCCCGTTTCCCAGCTCTTCTCCTTTGATGGGAGATATGTATGATCTCGGGCATTTGCATGGGAATGGTTGGGAGAAGATAGGGTCATCTGTTATGTGAATGCCTAAGAGATCGGGAGTCGACGCCAGAATATGTCGGTGTGAATATTTCGGATTTCAGGCTAAGCAAATCGGGCCTGGGAATTGGTTCATCCATAAAACTAATGCGAAGCTATTAGGACAGTACGGTCTAGACTTGCAGACACCAGGCATTTCCACGTGAGTTATCTTGATGAAGTATGCTTGTAAAAAGTGCGATTTTGGGCTTAAATGCCAACGCTATCACGAGGAAACTTGACATATAATGTAAATATCACTAGTTACATGATTTTAACACTTACTCCGTAGAGATCCAGACTTTGGTAGTAGATAAGGCCTAAGCCAAGGTTTATTCGTAACCATGGCATATGGGACGCGGAGCCACTAGTTCTTCCGTGTACTAGATAGAGTAAGGCTCCATATTTGACCATGACATACAGCTGGCTTCTTGCTAGTGACAGGTTCATTTAGCGACAGGCTGAAGAAGCAGTGTCCACTATCTATTTATGGAGACTGGTCCTCATGGATGATAATGTCAGCGACTTGTCACATCTGTAACCATCTTGCCTGCCTCTAGCCCATACAAGTTGCACTATAGAGCTGCTATTGCTAGATAGTATATATGCAAGCTTTTTCTTCAAGCTGAAGGAGCAAACTATATCTCAAACCTGTCCTGGGTCTCCTCCAGTTCCATCGGGACGATCAGGCCGATGTGGGGAGCGGATCAGGGATCTGGCGGCCTCAGGCAGCAGCACATGCGGCGATTCCCCCTCGTGGGAAGTTGTAAACAATAATTCATTCCGGCCTCAAGTCCCTGAGGACAGCACTCCAGCACGAATCATCGCTATTGCGCTCGCGTATCGCACCATCCCGGTCCTGTTACTCAAGCGTCCCACTGCCATATCCAATCGTCATGTCTCTCTACCTGTGAGCGAATTACACCATCTATAACTCTCACAATCCGCATCACCATACCTGGCACTTTCGTCCACAAGTGCTTAATCTCCATTTACAACCCACGGAAAGATGGATAACCCACAGAAGACCCCCAGCCGACCGAGTGGCATACCTCGCTTGGCCTCCAGATTACCTCTACCGACGTCTGCCGCCACTAAATCCCTGCGTCCCTCCCCCTCACGCGAGAAGCTACAAACCGACCCCGGTCTCCATGCCAGTCGTTTGAGCAGACCTTCTCAGGAGCCCGTCTTCAAAAAGCCCCTACCGAAATATACGGTGCCAAAGAAGCCCTTAGGTACTCAGCGACAAGAAAGAGATATCTCTCAGACAAGGACAAGCGATGCGGAGGGAACAGAACCCGCAGGGGCATCAAATAACAAATCCCTTTATCTGGAGGCCGATTATGCACCGGCTCATGATGCAGAGCCTCGGGGTCGCACACGACCATCACTGTCCGAACGAACAATCGAGACTCTTTCCCAAATCCCTCCTTCGCCTAGACCGCAGAGCAGACAATCCAGCAGTTTCTTCGGCGCAACTAGTCCCATGCGCTCGCCGTCTCGTCCGCCGTCTGCAATGACAAGCTATTCAAGGTCGCCGTCAAGGTCATCTTCTCGCCAACCGAGTGGAAGCGACTACCTTTCCCGTCCATCCTCGTCCATGCGTCTTCCGTCGAGGAGTGGTCCATTGTTTTCTGCGAACAGTGCAGCATCCGATCAAAGCTCCATTCCAAACACAGATAGTCCATCGAAACTGAAGCCGCCTTCTAATAGGATAACACCCTACGGCCGGAAAAGCGACGTGACATCCGCTTCCAACCCTCGTCAAGCACCTACCAGGGTGTCTACGAGGCCCGCAGAACCTACTGTAGATGCTCCGCAGGAACGCCTCGAAGTGAAGAAAACCCGGAAAGTCCAGCAGAGTCTCTCGGTCCAGAGGCCATCCTTGATGGGTACACGGTCGCCATCGGCAAAGTCCACATCATCAGATCTTACTCCGGAACAGCAGACTGAGATGGAAACAAGAAAGGTCTCGAAATCATCTAGCGCTCTGAGGGAAAGTATCGCAAAGGCGAAAGCCGCGCGCAAGGCCGAGGCTCAGAAAGCCACGAAGCCGACAACTGCAGCCGATGGGTTCAATTTTGATACAGAAGATCCGTTCAACCAAGGTCCTAAGGATCCAAACCATGGACTTCTGCGAAAGCGCATTGATGGAGGTCGAACTTCCGGTCACTTGAATATCGCGGCTATGTCTCTTAAAGAATTGCCAAAAGAAGTCATGACAATGTACGACTTCGATACCAATTCCACCTCCGATTGGTATGAAAGTGTGGACCTTGTTAAGTTCATCGCTGCGGATAACGAATTCACGGAGCTCCCCGATGATGCATTTCCCGATATCGATGCACACGAGCTAGACCCAGAAGTTGACGAAAGGGGAAATCAATTTGGCGGGCTCGAACTTTTAGACCTTCATGGCAATATCCTGCAATCGCTACCAATAGGCCTCAGAAGGCTGGAGCGGCTGCACACCCTGAACCTATCTAACAACAATCTCAGTATGGACGACATAAATGTTGTTATGGACCTATCAACTCTCAGGGATCTGAGACTTGCCAGGAACAAGCTTCAAGGAGGTCTCACTCCGAATATCGGACGCCTTTGCAACCTGGAAGTACTGGAACTGCACGAGAACTCATTAACAGAGCTTCCTGGAGAGCTAGCAAAACTGGCTTCCCTCCGAGTCTTAAACGTGGGAAATAACCAGTTAAGCACTCTACCATTCGAAGAATTGCACAAGCTCCCGCTCAAGGAGCTCCACGCCCCGAAAAACCAATTGAAGGGGACTCTCTTGCCAGCTTCTGTGCCAAAATTCGAGACACTACAAATCTTGGACGTAGCCAGCAACGCATTGGTGAGCCTCTCGGAGAACAGTGGCCTCGAACTTCCCCATTTGCAGACTCTAGCAATCAACACGAACCGCATTCAATCTCTACCTGATGTTTCATCGTGGCAAGCTCTCCTGACCTTGTTAGCGGAAGATAACAGTTTATCAGAACTTCCTCACGGGTTCACTGAGCTGAAAAATATCAGGAATGTGGACTTCACTGGTAACGATATTTCAAGACTGGACGAGAAGATCGGCTTGATGGAGAGTCTCGTCACCTTCCGCATAGCCAATAATCCCCTGCGGGAGCGCAAATTTCTGAGCATGAACACGGAGGACCTCAAGCGCGATTTGCGTAACCGATGCGAACCGGAACCGCAAGATACAGACGACGAAGGTTCTGTTGCGACTCAGTTTACGTTGGCGCCAGAAACACCGGTCCAGACGGCCTCATGGCAAATCAAGTCTGGTGGTGTCGTCGACAGGTCCTACACCGATCTGCGGGATGTAGAAGTACAGGAGTTGGAACGCATCGATTTCCCCGAAGTCCGATGCCTCCAATTACAACACAACGAGTTACAATGTTTCCCTGTTCCAGCGCTCAGCATGCTCGCATCTAACCTAGCCGACCTGGATCTTTCGAATAACCCGCTCAATACTGCATCTCTCTTCTCAGGGCCCCTTTCCCTTCCCTCTCTTCAGAATCTCACCATAACCGCCGCCGGCTTGACTACACTTGAGCCGCTACTAAATAGCCTTACTGCTCCAGGTCTCACCTACCTAGATGTCTCATCCAACCGCCTCTCCGGACCGCTTCCTGCCATGCGCCGGAGCTACCCGAACCTGACAACATTACTGGCTTCTGATAACCGAATCAGCAGTCTCGACTTTGAAGCTGTGCAGGGTCTGCAGGTTCTAGACGTAGGAAACAACGATATTGGCGTCCTGCCGCCGAAGCTCGGCCTGTTAAGGGCCGAAGGGTCTAGCAAGAACTGGGGCAACGGCTCGCCCTTGCGACGCTTCGAAGTGGCAGGCAATAGTTTTCGGGTTCCGCGTTGGCAGGTGGTAGCCAAGGGGACCGATGCGGTTCTCGAATGGCTCAAAGATCGTATCTCCGAAGATGAACTGCGCGAGTGGGAATCGGGCGACGAATCGAACGATGAGTAAATCTGCAGCATAATGTGATATTAGGTACAACTAAGATCGAGGAGATCTGCTTGGGAGGACACTTGATTTCGGCTTCTTGACTGATGTATATTATACCATCTAGAGCGCACATACATACAAAGCATTGGTATCTAATATATCGCAACCTAATCGTGACTATGTACTCTCCCGGGAAGACCTCACTGCTGCTACATAAACATATAACTTAAGGACCTACCATGAAAATCCGATATGAGTGGTGTTGCGCATGCCTATTCACTGCGTCGCATCGATAACAGACTTGCTAACTTGGTCCATGACCTTCAGCCAAGTCCTGGCCCAAGTGGTGAACTTGTCCTCCTTCTCTTGCGGCGCATCGGCAGAATCAGTCATCTCCAAGGGAAGACTAGCTAGGTCGACGGCCTTGACGGCGCAATCCTTTGTCTTGCGAATGTATTCGAGGGATTTCTCTGTGTTCGCCTCGTACAACGCGCCGGCCACCTCGTCAATATGTCCAGGAATCTGCTGCAGATATTTCATCAAGGCTTCCAGCTTGCCGACGAGTGACGGCGAATCGGAAGATTTCTTTAGTCGGTTGGCCGTGATGGTGGGGTATATCTGCGAAACCGGTTTCAGGATCCGGAGAGCCGACTTCTTCTGCTCATGAAGAGCTGCCGTATCCTCTTCATCTTCGTCTTCTTCTTCTTCATCCTCCTCGTCATCCTCATCGCCCTTGCCCTTCCCGTCATCGCTCAAAAGGTCATCGAAGAAGTCATCGCCCTCCTCATCGGGATCCCACTCCTCGATCTCCTGGACCGCATCCCGTACAAGATCTCTCCATTCCTCCACACGTCGAACCACAAAGCCGACCACACCCTTCGCTGCGATATCAATCAGGACATCGCAGGAGTCCCACAAGCGCCCAGCCGCCACCGTGACCGCATCCTTCTCTGATTGCGACAAGCCGCCTTCCTTCTTCTGAGCATCCTCCGCCTTGTTCGCAACCGTCTGGACCTCCTGGAGTAGTACTGTCGTCTCTTTCAGTGCTGTTTGGGTCAGAGCATGCACTTCGGATTGGAACGCCTTGGTGTGATGGGCCGGGGTGACGAGGAGTGCTGCGGCGACCAGGGAGGGCAGCACAGACTCATTCAAGGCGTTGATAACACTCGTGGCAGCAGAGGGGGTGAAGGGAGAAGTAATCGTGAGGAGCGAGAGCTTGGTGGCTTGCGATTTCAGGGTCGTCGACGCGGCGGAGAGGAGGGGTAAAGCATCTTTTGCGGAGAGGTCGGTGGAAGAGGAAATATCGCTGGAAGAGGAGGCAAGGGCACCCTGAAATTGTTCCAGGAGCGTCACGCTCGTCGTCAAAGTGGATTGGAGTTTCTGCGACATTTTAATGCGGTTGCGCTGTTCGGATCGAGCCGGTTTGTTGACTGGCTTATTGGAAGGAAAGCGATGCGGATGGACTGGACGGGCGGAGAAATTTGTTGTTGCTGCGGGGCGCCTTCAACTTTCCTTCTGATTAGGGTTCTGCGGGGTCACCTGCGGCTGGTTGGTTTGTCCGCGGATGTACCTGATGGATGGGTTGATGATGATGTTGAAGATGATATTTATTGGAATTCGAGGCACAAATGGGCTTATATGAATTTAATATGAGCTTGACTAGTAGTGGTATGGTAATAACTTTCAGCACTACACGAATGATAATTGCCTCTGTGACTTTGGCAGATAATGTGTTGAGATATATAATGATCAGACGACATCATTACAATCATCTTCAGCAAATGTAGTTCCAATATTTCCAGTGACCCTTGATCCAATCGCCTCATAGGACCAGAGAAACTATATATTTCAGTCATTGAATACCCACTCCCCTTCTTTACTCAGCATCCACTGCCTGAGGCGTGTCAATACTAACCATAGAAGATATCCCTTCCGAATGAGTATGAGCCACGACCAACACATAACCCACCAATACGATGATGAGAGCAACAAGCTTATCAGATATGGCAGGCACAATAGCAAATCTCACCAATGCAATCCCAAGGCATTCCAAGTGAACGTAGACACAAATATTGTACTCCCTGAGCGACCAAAATCCATGCCCTAAGCCTGTGCCCTCATTTACCGATTTGGGAGCTCGACAGCTTGGCATCTCTCCGATCGCCGACCGAAAGCTCCGTCGCGGCCATCTTGGTTTTAGTCTTGTCTGCACTTCTCCATCCCCAGCAACCCCCTCACCAGTTATTTTCCGCGCGTTTCACCTCTCTAATCAAAACCGCCCATGCCCTCTGCATTAACTCTAATGACCTAAACCCCTTTGCCAAAAATGGGCACCACCAAACCTCGCCCTTCCGGCCGGGCCTCCGTCGCCAAGGTCCAATCTCTCCCCGACAAGACATTCGTCATCGATAATGGCGCATACACCCTGAAAGCCGGCTATGCGCCGGACTCTGCACCTCCAGAGGACCAATCGAAAGCGCTTGCAGCTTGCACCGAAATTCCAAATGCGATCGTCAAGACCCGTGGCAACAAGATCTACGTCGGCTCTCAGCTGAACACACATGTGACGGACTGGAACGAGATGATGTTTCGTCGTCCCGTTGAGAAAGGCTACATTGTGAACTGGGAGGCTCAGAAAGAGATTTGGGAGCATTCGTTTTTTGATGAGAAGACCGTGCGCAGTAAGGATCTGCGGATTACGGATCCCGAGGACACGACGTTGTTGTTGACGGAGGCGCCGAATGCATTGCCTGCGCTGCAGAAGAATGCAGATGAGATTGTCATGGAGGAGTGGGGGTTTGGAGGGTATCTTAGATGCGTTGGTAAGGATGCTAGGTGGTCGTACGCTGATTGCTTGGAGAGGGTGATTGCTAACGGAGACGCGTATTGCATTTAGGACCATCGATGAACGCTTGGAATGATGTCCAGTCGCTGTTCGGGGATCCTATTGTGCAGAAGGCAAACACAACAGTGTCTCCAAAGGAATGCTTATTGGTGGTCGATTCGGGTTACTCTCACACCACCGTGACACCGATTTACAAAGGACAGCCGCTTCAACGTGCCATTCGCCGACTCGACCTTGGTGGCAAGCATCTTACGAACTACCTGAAGGAAATGGTTTCAGTACGGCAGTACAATATGGTGGACGAGACTTATATCATGAATGAGGTCAAGGAAGCTGTCTGCTTTGTTAGCAACAACTTCGTCGGCGACATGGAACAGACGTGGAAAGGCAACCGGAAACGCGGCCTGCCGGACCCCAGCGAGGGGGTGATGGTGGACTATGTCCTTCCTGATCCCAATGCAGGCAAGAAGGGCTTCATGCGACCGCATGATGCTCTCTTGAACGCCAAGAAGAGGAAAGGAGGATTGTCGGGGGCCAGCGCGGAAGCACTATCGGAAGACGCTCTGGTCTTGGGCAACGAGCGCTTCGCTGTTCCGGAGATCTTGTTCACTCCCAGCGACATTGGCATGAAGCAGGCCGGCATTCCGGATATTATCATGCAAAGTCTTTCTGTCTTGCCTACCGGACTGCATCCCGCGTTTCTGGCCAACGTTTTGGTCGTCGGTGGCAATGCGCTACTCCCAGGATTTGTGAACAGACTGTAAGTATGGCCTTGATATGTTTGGCGGATTGGCATCTTGTTGCTAACCGGGTGGCAGGGAGTCGGAATTGCGCCAACTGGCTTCCGCGGAATGCGCTGTCCGGGTGAAATGCCCGCAAGAGTAAGAGCTGCTGCCCTACTTCCTGACTACTGTCTCTTCGAACTACGAGCTGATGATCGTAATCTTTCTATTCACAGCCCGATTCGCTCCGCCTGGTTGGGGGCGTCCCGATTTGCTACTAATAAAGACGAACTCCGGAAAGTCGCCATCACCCGGCAAGAGTACCAAGAGCACGGTTCTTCTTGGGTAAGTCGGAAGTTTACTGGTGCTATATAAAGTTCAGCGGGCAATGGCTGTCTTTGTGGAGTTCAGGATTTTGCATTGATTGGAGTGTTACGGGGTTTGATGAGGCATGCTTGCTTTCCCTGCTTGCTTGCCTGGGTGCTGTTCGGTGTTTGTCTTCATACTTTTTTAGCGATTCTCTGTGATACCCTCGAAGATGTTGGCCCATCCCAAGCCAGTGGAATTCATAGAACAATGTCATTATGTCATTTCTCATCGGGGATGAGCGATGATGGTTTATCATTGCTCAGGGAAAATGGTGAGAGGTAGAAGCAGCGCTAGTAGGTCTTCATGCACTGCTCGACCACGCCAGAGACCAATACGTGAACCGACGACCAGTCTTCGGACTGCTGTTGGGCAGTGGCTAGTTTAGTTTGGTGACGATCGGAAGGAAGGAAGGTGAGCGAGCGAGCGAGCGAGCGAGTGATTGTGAGTCATGGAGGGGATTGGGGGAAAGAGTAGTAGTTTGTTGCGGTGAGGCTGGGATGGGCTTTGCTTTGCTACCTGATCTTCTTTTCCTGCTCGCCCCGCAGTCGAACACGTCGACAACCTCAACCGACGGTCAACCGCATGGTCGCGCTCCATGCGCCAGCTTACTTTCTTTTCGTCGTCTATCCCGAATTCCGGTCGCCAATAGTCCTCATCTATCCCTTCCGTATTCTCGCGGTTGGTCGAGGAAACTAGCATGGACCAGGTGGTGCCCCGCCGCTCAAGGTCACCCTACAGCTGCACACGGACGAATGATGTCAAACTATCTAGCAGGAAGCGTAGTCTGAGAGGTATCTCTAGCAAATAATGGGCGGTGGACATGTGGCATTCGACTGCCTTACCCATGGCATGGGTCGCTTAGTTGTCGCGCGATATACCCACCTTCCTCTTGTCTGGCTCTCTGGTCATCCCGGATGATATGCCGAGCAGTCCAACAAACAACCCGAATGATGTCTATAAAGACCCTGGCAGCTCTCGCGCCGGCTGCCGGCGATTTTATGCTAGTTATTATCTCCTACAAAACTCAATTTACACCATACATACATAACTTCAGAACTACAACTCCATTCAAAGACCCTTGCCACGATCTCAGTATTATGTTACTACTGTCCATTGCTCGTTGCTCGTGCCCTACTCTCTAAAGTCGAAACCAGCGATTATGGATTCCAGCGTCCCGGAATTGCACCCAGCAATCATTCAGTCCGATCTACTCCTCCCCATCACCGACCCCGTCCCCAAGTGTACGACCCTCAACCGCTCTATCTCGTAGGTCAGCCAGAAGAAATCACAGCCACTGAAAGAGATTCCTTGCCGGAAGACAAGATGACTGCGTTTAACGTCAAAGATCTGGCTGCGCGCGCTGCCCAGCGCCTCGCGGAACACCGCCAAAAGAGCGAGGCCCGTGGCAGCACTTTCAGTACGGAGCCACTGCCCATGGACCGTGTCTCGAGTCTGGACACCAATTCAATGAGAACCATGTCACATAGTGAAGACGAACACCGCCACAAGTCGAAGATGAGTCGGCTTGTGCAGAAGGTTCGAGGGCGGTTCTCGAAGCGTCTTGCGAAGAGGGAGGTAATCGACGAGTAAGTATCCCATCGAGATATACCGCTCAAGCCTTTTCTTTTGATAATGGCGCTAACTCACTCTATAGACCCTGCGCATGCTGCTTGGATATTATGCCTGCGGAATGCCTGATCAGCATGCCGTGTCAGCACAAGTACTGCAGCAGATGCTTGAAGAAGTTGGTGTTCACAGTCATGCCGGAGGAAGGACTGTTCCCACCCAGATGCTGCAAGCAGAAAATCCCAACGGAGGTCATCCTCCCCGTGCTGACACCGAAGGAGAGGACAGTCTATTTCGCCAAGGTGCAGGAGTATGCGACCCCAGCCAGAGAACGCTGGTACTGTCCTGCGCCGACGTGCGGCCGGTTCATCCCACCGAAGCATCTGAACAGTAAGCTCTCGTCTCAAAGCTGCCCATACTGCAGCACGACGTTCTGCTCTGGCTGCAGATGCCTGGAGTACAATAATAGTACTTCGACCGGGAAGAAAGATCCGGGCTTTATGGCCGTCTTCGAAGATCCGCGACTCGGCAAAGCGCAGAGGGGTCTAAAATGTGGCTCTTTGGTGGACCTCTTGTTCAATTGTGATCACGTTACGTGTCGATGCAAGGCACAAGTTTGGTGAGTTCCCCCTTCACCCTGCCCACACAAGCTGCATCTAGATATCCTAACCAAGACACAGTAACCTCTGTCGCAACCCATGGCTATCGTGCACTTGCGCCAAACCAGGTCAACGGCCCATCGACTTCCTCACCTTCATCATCGGCCACAGCGGCGTGAACAAAGACCAGGAGGCCGAACTCGCCGCAGTGGTGGCTGCCATCCTATGCAACGAAAGGTTGCGGGATGAAGAATTGGCAAAGACCCAAAGCGGCTTGAAGGAAAAGGCGGGAAGCGCTAACAGAAGTCGGGCAAGTCTGCTGATACCGCAGCAGGCGACTCGGGCTAGGAGGGTTTCCTAGGCTCTGAGTATTGGGTGGATAGTAACCAGATTGATTATTGTATCTCCAACTTGAGGGAGGCAATTCTGTTTTTTTCGAAAATGTATCCTGGCGGCACACTCCTTAACTTTTCCTTTGTCTAGTCGTGTTCAATTAGCGTGTTATGATTATGAGAATGGATTATTGACTCTATCTGATGTTGTTGTCTGATTTGTAAGCGTATGACGAATAGTTAGTATATGAGTCGTGACTTGTAGCTGGTACAAGTGTTGCTGAGACACCTTAAGGGTAATGTATGTCTAGGTGTATAATGTTAATGCTGTGTGCTGTCTTTGCTGCATGCAGTATGGCTACTTCTCGGTCACCGGAAGTTAAATGTACATGCAATCCGAATCAGTCATTAGCAAGACACACCAAACCGGGGTACATAATATTTAAGACATCACAGCATATAAGGGAGGGATATCGCAACATTCGCTTGGATAGATACAGAGTTGATTGGATCAATCAATCAATTAATAGTCGTAGAAGCCCTTTCCAGACTTCTTGCCCAGCCACCCAGCATCAACCATACGCTTCAACAGCCCGGATGGCCGGTACTTACTATCACCAGTCTCCTGATGCAAGACATTCATGATAGCGAGACAAGTATCCAGACCGATAAAGTCCGCCAACACCAACGGACCCATAGGCACATTTGTGCCCGTCTTCATGATGTTATCAATATCCTCACGACCACCGACGCCGGTCTCTAAACAGATGATTGCCTCATTGATATATGGCATGAGGATCCGGTTCGCCAGGAAACCAGGCGAGTCCGCAGAAACAGAAGCGACCTTGCCCATACGCTGGACAAAAGCGATAGCGGTGTCCTTTGTTTCCTGGGAGGTTTGCAAGCCAGCGATAATCTCTACGCCCTTTTGCACGGGGACTGGGTTCATGAAGTGCGTGGAGATGACGCGCGAGGGGGCCTGCAGGTCCCTGGGGTCTGTTGTGGTGGCGGCTGCGATCTTGGTGATGGAGATGGAGGAGGTGTTGGTAGCGAGGATGGCATGTTTAGGGGCAATTTGGGCGAGTTTCGAGAAGATAGAGGTCTTGAGGTCGGGGATCTCAGGGACGGCTTCGATGACAAAGTCGACGGTGGAGAGGTCGTCCATTTTCAGGCTCGGGGTGATGCGCGCCCGGGCGGCGTCGGCGGCGTCCCGGGTGAGACGTTCTTTGGATACATCTTTGTCGAGGAGTTTGTCTGGAAGAATAAGGGTGGTTTAGTTTGATGGGGCTGGGATGGTGATGAGGGGGAGAACAAGTGGGTGCTGCGTACCGGCGAACTTGAGGCCCTTGTCGATGGATGCTTGGGAGTTGTCGATTAGGGTCACTGGGACTTGGGCTTTCTGAGCAGCTACTAGAGCAATTCCTAACCCCTATAGATTATTAGTTGCCTTGAACTTTTATATACTGGAGCGAATATCATATTGTCAGGATCACTAACCATCTGCCCAGCTCCTATCACACCCAGCGACTTAACCTCGGCAGCATGGACAGCGGACGAGGTGCTGAAGGCCCGCGAGGCCATTGAGGGGCCCCGGTGGCAGAGAGAGCGCAATGACGAAGATAGCATTTTTTTTCAATTTAGGTACGAAGACTCTCGATGCAGGATACAGAGCAGATCTAGCAAAGAGAGGAAGGAATGACCCGATAGTAAATAGATGGCCGCGCGGAGATGCATCGGGCCTCGGCCAATCTCATGTGATCCGACGTCATCGGCTACCCGCGGCTTTCTCGGCTGATTCGTTTATCCGGTATTTTCTAAGGCGGTGACACGTCGACGCGTGAAATACGCGCCATTATTGGTTGATGGCCAAATTAAGGGTGCGCGCGCAGGATCACCAAGCAGATGATGATAGTGAGAAGGAGGAATGATACAAGGTGTGCAAGCCCAGCATGGAGAACGAAGAACCAGTGCTGTCTGCGCCGGACGTGCAGGTAGTGGATCCTGATGTCCGCGCCCATGTCTATAGTCTCGTCACTGCCGTGAGTAGACCCCTTCCAGGACTGAACGATAGGATAGGAACACAGCTGATTACTTGCTTATAGTTGGGTGGTTTCAATGGCGAAGATGCAGACAAGTACGTGCTGGGAGATGACGCTCTGGCATGTCTCCGGGATATCAAACGCTGGCTGAAGCTATACGATGAGAAACACAATCGGATGGATGTGGCACGATGCCTCGGAGAAGCCAACCTTGTCAACGGAGATTTGTTACCCATCCTGGCAGTCTGGGCGAGCAGCAAGAAACAAACCAAGTACATGTCTAGGATCGCATTGGCATGCTGTAAGTGATGCTATGTGCTACAGTCCTTTGCGACGATATCTAACAGAGAGCAGTAGAGCTGCTTGTCCCTTTGACATGGCCGGTAGAACTACACGGGGAATTGACAATCAACCACCATCGGCATATACCATACATACAACATGTTCACGTTTCATATAAGCGAGGCCTATTAAGTCATGCTAGCACCAGCTACCTTCGGACTATTATCCGCGTCGGCATTCCGAGCATGGCCATCCCACGATCCGAGCGAACGACCCGCGACGAAGGTATCCTCAAATTACTACTCTATCTCCTCCGGAACATCGCTTTGATAACCCCAAATACTCGTCTCGCGGCGGAAGGCGACGAAGAGGAAACCTCGAGATCTGCAACAATCAACGCCTTCCAAGATCAGGATGTCTTTGCTCTCCTTCTGACTATGTGCTCCAACGTTGGCGACGACTTCACCATGCAAGATGTTGCTCTTCTGGAGATATTGTTTCATCTGATAAGGGGTGTTAATGTGGAGAAGCTATTCATGGATGATGAGCAACGAACAGCGAAACAGACGGACGAGCTAGACGACCTGCTGCGCCAGGAGTCGTCTTTGCGGAGAGAGTACGCGAAGAACGCACCAACTCGACATGGACGCTTTGGAACCATGATCTGGGTCAAGCGTGATGACGCCAAGTATTCGACCGTCTCAGGGCAGAACGTGCTCAAAGACAGCCAGGCGACCCTTCAAAAGATGGACGAGACCAAGAAGTGGAACAAGCCACTAATCCGGCGAAAGCCACAAGATTTGACTGTGCACAATGACTTCAGCACTCCGGTCCACCTAAACTCGACTGCTTCCAACAATCTGCGGATGTTCGTGGAAGAGTTCCTAGACTCAGGCTTCAATCCCCTTCTTACTCATGTACGGAAGGCAATCGAACGTGAAGCAGACCGTGTCATGGACATCAATACACGCCAGTTTCTCTACACTACTGCCTGGTTTCTCGAAGCGGAGCGCGCACGTCGGGCACGCCAACGCAAGAAGCATGCAGAGAGCGAAAAGCCGGCTAAGGAGCTGGAACCCGATAGCTTTGGTCTAGTTGCGGGCGTCCTGAATCAAGAAACGTTCGTCTTCTTGAATCGCGCTATGCAGTATGCGCTGGATAACAAGGACTGGGAAGATCTCAACGCTGGAATGCGCTGCTTCACCCAGATCTTGTTGACCGTGCAGGACATGGCCCAGTCTCCGCTCGAAGAGGACCAAGAGATCGCTGAAAATATCCAGAATCGTATTTTCTACGAAGAGACTACCCATGACCGCGTCCTCGCTGTTATTCGTGGATACAAGGATCAACCGTTTGGGTATCTGGATGCGTGCACTGAACTCACTCACGTCTTCTTGCGAATGTTGGAGCGTTATTCGAAGGAGAACCTCGATATGCAAGTACGATCTCGGCGACGTGCCAGACGCAAAGCCAAGGATGTAGAAGGTGCTGGTAACGACGAGAATGATGAAGAGAATGGTTCCGAAGATGAAGATCGCATGGAGGCAGAACGAGTGTCCAAAGAGCGCAAGTTCGATTTCAGACGGTTTGCCGCCAAATTCTGCAATCAGAAATGCGTTGACACCTTTGTTGCTTTCACCAAGCATTACAAGGAGTTGAACACTGAGCAGCTAAAACGCGCCCACCGTTACTTTTACAGAATTGCTTTCAAGCAAGAACTCAGTGTTCTGCTATTCCGTCTCGATATTATCAACCTCTTCTACCGGATGATTAAAGGCCCAGGCGCCTTGGATTCAAGTAAACCGATCTTCAAGGAGTGGGAAGAATTCGTGCGCCAGATTATCCGGCGATTGACCAAGAGGCTCGACCAACGGCCTGCCCTGTTCGTGGAGCTGCTGTTTAGTAAGATCAATGCGACTACATTCTACCTCGAATATGGTCACGAGCGGCAGACAGTCACCCGTGCCAGGAAGGCTCCAGCAGAACTAGAGATCGACCCCCGACAGGCTCATACGATTGAAGAGAAAATCAGCATCATGGTGCCTGCATTGGTCTTGGATGGGGAGGAAGATCTGGTCAGTTGGGTCAGCGATGTGTTGGGGTCGGCAGTGGAAGAGAGGGAGGCTTGGGAAGCCCAGGAGAAGGCCCTGCGCGAGGCGGGTGCAGAGAGTTCCAGAATTCCCAACCCTATGATTTGTATGTTGTTATTCTATGCTATCTGGACTGTGAACTAACTTTTCTGCAGCTGTGAAAGCGCGTGACGATGCATGCCAACAGGCTATGTTCTCCAACGCGAAGCTCCGTCTTCTGATGACATTGGTCAAATTTGAGCGACTTGGTGCAGAGGACGTGCCTGGAGCAGCCTGGGTCATTCCTTCTGCTCCAAAGGCCCAGGACCTCAGGGAGATGAAGTCATTCATCGACAAATACTTTGTGAAAGCGAAGCGAGGGACACTTGGGCGGGACCCCCGTGAGCTGATCCGACGGAAATACGGTGGTGGATCGAAGTCCTCAGACAACCAGCACAACCCTGATATTCACTTTGGGGATGATTCCGAGGGCGAAGACGAGGTACCAGACGGGCCTTTGTTCCCTCCAAACCCTCGGGCAGCGCCCAATCCGGCCAAAAAAACAATCAAGAAGAAAAAGCGCAAGGAACGTAACCCAGATGATGAGGATGAGGAGGACTCGGTGGATGAGGAAACCTTGGAGGAGCGTCGCCGGGCACGCTTGGAAAATAGCCGAGCTCGTCTCGCCAAGATCAAAAGTGATCTGTATGTGCACGCGAGTGACGAAGACACCGATGAAGAAGGAGACAAGGAGTTCTTCCTCCTGGAGGAGCAGAGACGTAAAGAACAAGCCCAGCGTATCAAGCATGCACTACTTACCGGCATGACCGAGGACGGAGACGGTTCAACCAATAAGAAAGGTCAACGCAAGCGCCAAACCACTCGCACCCGGACAGGTGAAGCCAAGAGCAAGCGGCAACGACGCGGGAAGCAGACAGACGGAATGGACGAAGATGATGATGTCGTGATGGGGAACATGGATGCCCCATCGCCTATGTCGGAAAAAGAGGGCACGCCATCTGAGGAAGCGGACGATGGCTTCAATTTCGACGACGATTTGGTATTCAGTCGGGATCGAGAGAAGCTGTTGGGTTCTGTTGGAAACGAAGACCAGGACTCGAACAGGCCTGATGAAGCAATGGCGCAGGATGAAGACGATGATGACGCACCGGTTGTAGCAGCAAATCGCAGACGCATGCGCGCGGGCTTCGTGGTGGATAGTGACTCGGAGTAGAACGGGTGTCTGCTCTATTTACTCTCATGGCATGATGACTTGATGCGGTGTTTGGTGTCGAGCATAAATATAGGCATTGTTTGAATTGGCATCTGTATGTATATGGATTAACATGCATGGATAGACAATGCATACCCTTGGTTTACCGGACAATAATGGCAAGTTCCTGCCTCGTGCAGGAGTCTACTGGTACATAAAAATGGTGAAAAACTGATTGTCCATTCAGTACCCAGCTTTATCCACTCTCCTTAGTATTACACTGTTCAGAAAGCGTTATCGATGTGGTCTCTATAGTGAGAAAAAGGGCTGCAGCGAAGTTGCATGAAAGCACGTCCTCGACGCTATTGCGCCCTAACTATTTCATTCGCTTTAGGTCTCAAGTTCTTACTAGCTTACCAGTGAGCTAAGCATCACACCTGCATGCGTCTTGGATGCTGATGAGGATATTGCTCCATGATCACGGGATCGATACGTGAATTTAAAGAGAAGATATCCCGTGTCTAAGTGAATACAGTGGCGACGCGCGTTCCTATTCCTACTTCACGCAACCTGTTATCGTTGCTCAAAACTCATAACACAGTAAGCCATTTTCTATGCTTTGCAGTGCAGATGGCACTGGTCTCCAGCACGCTTGACTCACAGTTCTCACCTTCCCAAGATCCAGCGCCGTACTAAATACATGATGCCGGATCGGGTAACTCGCAGATCCCTTCTTGCCAGTCCTTTTCAGGTTCTCAAATGTGCATTTAAAAGTCGTCGTAGCCGCTCAGGCAACATGAACACTGAAGCTAGCCACAGCAACCGCACCCAGGACACTCTGAGCAACAGCACAATCAACGAGTCGATCTGTCCTCCTCCAAATACTCCCAAATCACCATTATCTGCCACAGAAACCAGCTCATCGGCATCCACACCAACCAAGGAGCTACGTTCCGTACGTGGAGAACGAATCAGGCGAGCAGTGATGCTATCTTCAGACACAACAGACGCTGGAAAGCCTTCCACTCAATCCGAGGAGGAAGGACAAGGACATCTTGGAGACTGCAATGAAGAAATGTTCTCCATATCCCCGAAGGAGGAGGAAAGACAACCTCTGATCCTGCATGAGACCTCGTTCCCTGTCTCTCATCAGGCTACGGGTGAAAAGGCTCACTATGCCAAATATTCTAGACTTCCCACTCCTGTCAAGCCACCGACGTCAAATCTGTATTCGCATGAGATGTACCAGCATGAAGGAAGACGGAGTGTGCTTTCCTCTTTGGGGGCACCTCATACTGCTGGAAAACGGTATGGCGGAGGGGATCTGAAGTCCGGTTCATCAGAGGATAGTCCTGGAGTATGCAGCCGAAGCAACAGCATGCATGATGGCAGTACCGGGGCATCTGAGCAGAAACCATCAGGCTTATCACTCCCACAGCGAGGCCACAGCAGTGAGCGAGTCCAGCTGAGAAGAACAAATGTACTTCCGGCTTCAACGCGCGACCATGGCAGCAGCAAGCCAGACAATGCACGCAAGTCGCTTCCAGTTATGGTTACCGGTCGACCGTCAAAAAGAGTATTGAGTCGGAAGGAGGTGTTCCATAGTAGAGCCGAGATGAAGGCAAATTCAAACTCAAGCTCAAGCTCAGATCTCATGAGCACCCATGCAGCAGATGCACCTCGACCATGCTCACGAGAGCACCACACAGACAGCCAGCAGTTCTTGCGATTGATACCGATTGAGGACAATATTGGTCTTGGCTTGCAAATGCAGGCACACGATCATCATTCAGATGCAACGCCCACATCCGAAGCAGAGTTGGCGAGATCGAGTCTAAGGGCGCTGCCGAGGCGGGTGCGGTTAACGAATAAATTTGAGAACCTGCGGGCACAGAATGACAAAAAGGAGAAGCAGTCTGGAGAAACAGCAGTACAGTCTTTCTTGAAATTGAATTGACCGACCAACTTCATCAACTCGCCCACTTCTCTCTTTGTGAGGTGCTGTAAGGTCTTTCAGGCTTGCACAATGAATCCTCCAAGCATGTATTAAGCGGAGGTACAAATGAGATAGGTCTAATATTAAGGAATTACAATGCAAACCGAATATTTAAATTTCCCTATCTTTCAAAACAAACCAAACAATTTCATTGATGGGGACGAAGTAGGGGTTGCAATGGACGGCCTGCCTTAGGCATGAATCGAGTGAATCTCTCCAAGTGAGCAGTGGAGTCCATCCACTCCATCAATCTATCTAGTTAGCAGCTAGGGTTCCAGACATGGAGCTATTATTCAGGGCTTCAACTCACTAGAGCATCAGGTTTGTCGTGTTAGTCTTCTCTACTCATCTTCTACTTCCTCCTACAACAGTCGCAGGTCTTCTTTAATATTTGTGAATCTTGTCCCAATGTCGTCCGAACATAAGACGGCGTCGAGGATCCTGAGCTTCCCAATCGAAGTGTTACATTTGGTCTTCGAGTTACTTTCGCTGGCTGAACTGCGTGCGCTTAGCCTTGTCAGTAAAGAGCTGCGCACCCAAGTTGAGCCATTCCTTTACGCAAACATCCAATGGCTTTGGCAGGAAGCTCCTTCGCCTTCCCCGATCACTCAACTCTTACGCACAATCTCATGCAGGCCACATTTGGCTGCATACATCACAAATGTTCACTTATATGGAATGCGCATCAGAGGTCGCAAGATGGCAGGCTCTCTTCCCACGACTCCCATTTCCAGCTCCGAATTGACCGAATACACTGCATTCGTCCAGGGAATTGGAGTACCCTACAGCGACCGCTGGATACGCGAATTACATCAGGGCACTATTGATGCTCTTCTTGCCCTTCTGGTAGCACAACTATCGAATCTCAGGAGCTTGTATCTTGGCCCGATTTTCGCTAAAGAAAGTCAGTTTGTCGGGATGGTTCTCAACTCAGCCCTATGCAGACCTAAGACTTACAGGCTACCTACTTTCCAATATCTCCGGAATGTGTCTTTCCCCCGCGTCGTGGGAAACGACGGCACAAAGCCTAAAATGACTCCCCGAGGTAGAAGCAAGAACACCGCCAATGTCCTACCATTATTTTATCTCCCGAACGTCCAAAGCATGTCCGTCACTGTTGAAAACCCGGATGTATTCACACGGCCTGCAGCGCACTTCCCTGAGCCTTCCAATCTTACCTCGCTTGATTTGACCGCTGTACGGGAAGCCTATCTCGGTGACTTGCTGTCAGTCACGCCAAACCTCAAAACCCTTCGCTGGGCCTGGTATTACGACTATGGCGTAGAGGATGACTAGAGGATGACTTCGTTTCGCCTATCGTCGATTTTGATGGGGTCGCGGCCGCGTTATGTCATGTTCGAAGTACTCTAACGGATTTAACAATCACAGCTGATGCCCCAATTGGAGGCAATGAGCAGTTTTATCCCGCTGTCAAGATGGAGGGCTCGCTGCATGCCCTCAATAATTTCGACGAGCTCAAGAGACTTCGGATTCCCCTGGCATTCCTCGTAGGGTTTGTCGAAGACACAACAAAGAGAATGCAGGATGTGGTCCCAAGAAATATCGAATGCCTAACCATTACGGACGAATTGGGGCTACAGAATTACGGTGGAGAATTTAATATTGATTGGCCGATTTATGAATGAACGGATTCTGCCGTTCTGACCTTGCTTCGGACATGGCTGAGGGATTGGAGATCCTGTACGCCTCATCTTCGTGGAATATCTATCTTGTTTGACTATATAGAGACAAACAGTGGGGAATGGACCCCAGAATTGAGGCACCAAGTCATGGAGCTAGGTGCTCAAGCTGGAGTCTCCCTCGACTTAGCTGAAAGGAAACGCGACTGGTAAAACTTTATCATACATTAAGAGCCACCTAGGTCATATGGCCCCAAGCCACCCAAAAATCATGACCATCAAGCCTTATTTGTTGCTGTTGCTGCTCGTATCGGGAGAGTAGCATAACTGGATCTGGCTCCTCTTCTCTATGCCTCCCGCGATTTCACTCAGACTAAACTCTTTGAACTCTTTGTTAGCATCTACGACTTCAATGCCGTACTCCTGAACAAATGTGCTGCACCCGAATTTTTCCTATGAACATATCGATTAGCACCCAGCCACCAGAATTCTAGGAAGGAGTCGAAGGGTATTCATGCATCCACTCACACCTATATCATCCGTACAAGGATCAGTCCTTTCATCTCCCACAATAGTAGCAACCCTTGGCTTCTGGTCACTTATCAGCCGGTATGGTCAGACGTCGTCTATCTATCTCCCTTTTCTATCTGCACATCCAACTAACATCTATATTGCCCTAGGCGGTAACGATGCTGAACTCTCCAACATCCTGAATCAGTGCATTTACCAATGGGCCGTATTGAACCTCACAAGGCCGCTGCTCTTGCCAACTTGGAATATGGTTGGATGGCGGATATCGATTGGGATGCATTGGCCCGTGGCTGCGATGGGCAGCTGGAACATACAAATCGTCTCATTAATGGAAATGCATTCAGCAAGAGCTTGGACAACGTCATTGCGGCGGCAGAGAAAAAGCTGGGACCAAAGTGAGTACAAGCAATACCCTAACTCAGAAGCTTGATTCTAACTGTAAGGCAGTGGTATGATCTACTACACGGGGTAAGTTGCCATGTTGTTTCATCGTCCCCAGCAGTCACTAAGAAGCGTGATGCAGTTATAGACTGACATGACATACAGAGAGGGTCTGATGTTCTACGAGCTAAACACGTGGGATCCCCATGGCTCTAATCCTCACAAACGAAGCCAAGACCGTCCCCTGGAGGGAACGTTTGAGGGCTTTGTGAATGAGTGTGCGGAGATTACCAAACTCCTCGATCCGGACGCTCAGTTTTCCAAACAGACTTCGGTGTCCGATGATACTACTGATCTGACTCTTGTGGAGTCGAAACTATCTCTCAGTGCTGTGTCCGAATCTTCTGATATCGAAGTTCCGAATGTGCTGCCAGACGGGTAAGAAGCTCTTCACCTTATGCACGGAACGTGTTGTTGATGGATTCCTGACAACTGAACTATCGTTTAATTCAGATACGGACGGGTTTTCCACCCTCAGGTTCAGCTTCATGAGCTTATTGCCAATTTAGTCATCTATGAGAGGACCAACAAGAACGAGATGGACAATGGGTATCCGGAAATTCCAGAGAAATTCACTTTGGACTCATGCCCTTGGACACCTGCAGACGTTGACGATGACGAATCAATGGATGCAGGAGGCCAACAGATTGCTTTGGCATCGTACATCAATCCATTATCCGATCCCACTGCATGGACTCGGTTGATCGACTACCCATCTGACAAGATGACCGTTTTGGTTGCATCAACGCACCGTATATGACTGTGGATGAGGATTGGGAGAAGGTCATCTCCCGGGCCAATGCAGCGGGTAAACGAGTTCTCGGTTATGTGCGCACAGGATATCTTGGCCTGAGCCAAGATCAATTCCAGACATGACTAGGTTCGAGCGGTCTGATGTGGGAGGCCTATCAAGATATCCGCAAAATTGGCGGGTGCAAAAAAATGTGGCAGCAAGCACTTTGGGAATGGCTGCCTGGTCAGCGTAGATTACTATTATGGATGTGATAATCGGGATTCTGAAGTAAACGCGATAGACGTTTGAAAAGCCGAAGTCAGTATAATAGGAATTGCTTGAATACATGCAGCATATAGATTTAGAAGCAGTTGACATCTAATGTTCTACCTTATACTGTGGATATATGAGAGTTGCATACTTCGAAACCGTGCCAGGCTAGGCAGGCACGTATCAATTGTGACAATAGCCAACTTTGGTAAATAACTGCTTCCTAATACCTCTCACGAAAGTGTCATATTAATGGCTCGCATCCAGGTCATAAGAGTGGAAGTATCACCTGGAGTTTTGCTAGATTGATTCACCTCTATCTAAATTCCTATTGTCGATTGTCCTTGAAACAGTGATTGACGATGAACACGAGTACTTGAGACAATGGGAATAGACAAACAGTTTGCTCCAATTGCACGCATTGGATCCTACTTACATTTATGTGCGCCATGCTCCAGTGATATACCCACGCTACCTACTCGCTCCATCTTTCGGATTCTCACACCATCATTTGATATCGAATATATCCGAGCAGACAAATCTCGGAACTATTAAATTCAAATCTTTCCATAACCAGCAAGACCACCAACAATGTGATGGAGTAACAAACAAACGAGCAAACATATTCTCTGTACCGACACTTAAAGGGCAGGTGAGAGTGACTGTAGTCCTTCTTCACTTCGGGTGATAAATGTTTACTGATCGATCCGTGGTTCGTTCACAGGAGAGATAGCCCAAACACAACACGTTCCTTGACCAGGGTATACGGCATCAAATAACAATTCATCAACCAGAAAAAATGAACCTTTCTCAATCAACAGTATCAATATGACCCAAATAATCACAAGAGCCATCAAAAACCACATCCAATCTAGCTATTCCTATCCCCATATCTCCAAAAGCTATACCACCGCCGCAAACCGAACATACACAACTATAAGAACTATACTATCAGAAATGCAACCTCGAGCCGAAGGCGAAGACAAACATGAAAGAGAAGCCCCAAGCACAAGCACAAGCACCACTCCCCGTCCTCAAGCTCATCCCAACCCAGACACCACTCCCACCTCCACCACCAGGCGCCGTCCGACGCCGTTTCCTTCACACCTCCCAAGACCTGTCGTCCCTCATCCAGCGTCCAGCAGAGGAAGCAGAAGAAGAACCCTTCCACCACCACCACCACCACCACGGCCTGAACAACTAGCACGACCACTCCCACGTCACCGTCTCGACTCCCCCATTCCATCACGACTTCCCCAAAGGACCTCAACATCTACCACCATAGAACAGCCCACACCGCCACGTACACGCCTCGAACCGATATATGGAGCCCAATCATACGCCTACTGGCTTGGAAGACTCGTGACCGTCCTCAACGCCATACTTTACGCAGACTTATTCAATGCACCGGATCCCGTGACGGGAATTCGCCCACCAAGTGTGTTCTCGCTGGCCGTATCAAGGCATGGGTATTCCCAGCGGGCAGCGGCTCTTGCTGGGTTGGATAGGGGCGTTACGGGGAGATTTAGGAGGGCGTTCATGTTGTTGGAGGATGCGTGTCGTTCGGAAGACGCGACGCGGAGTTATAGGGCCTTTGGGTTGGCGTTTGAAAAGGCTCATGGACCTTGTGGTCAGCGTTTTAGGGACTGATAGCCTAGTTGTAGTTGGGTTGTTTTGTCCGTTGTTGGTGGAGAGGCCGTGAGGTTAAGAGTTGTGTATTAGTTAGTATATATGATGCGTGGTGGTCTTGCTGCATTTGTGCTAGGGACGGACAGATAGTTACCATCATATCACTATTAATGATCCTTGTCTATTTCATTAAAAAAGCACACTTCCTTTTCTTCTATTTTGATTTTCCCAGCTATTATACAGTTTGTAAGACCCCACCTCACAATCGCATTTCTCCGAATTGGGCGGGTTATATATCATCAGTTTCATAAAAATGTCCCGAGAAGCCAGAACGCCGAGCTGCCGTACCTCTATGCAACGCAAGAAGCCATAATTTTGCTATAATAATATATTCCTTTTCCAGCCCCGTAAAACTGTTTCAGCCAACACCTTTTTGGTTGGAGGTGATGAACCCTCATCTTTATTTGCGGCTCCTCAGGAACGCAGCCACTTGTTCATGCCTCGTCACGAAGAACATGCGTTTGCGATCCGACTTCCATGCCAGAACACCAATCTCCTCTGCATACCGACAAGGGGCCTCGTATTCTGCCAGACTGACAAAGTCCTTGAACAAGAATCCGGAAGTAGCCTTGACACGGTCCCGCTCTAGCTGCCAGAGACGAATCTGGTCCACCACGGTGGGCGGGAGGACTGATGGGGGAATTCCGGCTTGGTTCGAAGTCGAGCGGGAGACATTGTGCTTGCGCATTTGCGGATGGGCGTGAGTAGAGAGATAGGAGATGATTTGATCGGCGGTGATGCCCATTTCGACGGCCCGGCGGACAGACTGGCGGGTGATTTTGCCGGTGATGAGGTTGGGGAAGCGGTATTTCAGGGTGGTGAACAGAGCAATGAGGGAGATCTGTAGGGGGGATGAGGTGTATGCGTATACACGGTAGTTGGTTTCGATGATAATGAAGCCCGTACCCGCTTTGCTGGAGGCTTCGCCGGCAGGACCGGAGAGGGAGCCCAAGAGCGGGTTGCTCAGGGCGCTGGAGTCGGATGTGAGCGTCGTTGCAAGACGGGTGGGGTAGAAACGCGGTGCATCGGGCGATTCCTGATAGACGATACCGAAGTCGGCAAGGTCGGTGAGCATGCGCAGTTGTTTCGAACTGAGGTGGTTCTTTTCGTATGATTTTCCGAGTTCGAGGCTGCTGAGAAGGAACACGAACGAGAGGACCTCGACACTGTCCATCTTGATGGCGCTGGCGCTCTCGACGTAGAGAATCAATATGTGCCACACCTGCGTGCTGACATCCTGTAGGACAAAGGCGAACCCATCCTGGGTGATTTCGACACGACGATCTCGGATTTCAACTAAATGACCTGCTTGCAGGAGCTCCTTCACACCTTTGCTGAGGGTCACTTGGGGAGCTCCCATGCCTCCGGTACCGACCATGTATCCCAGCACTCCTTCCCACTGTCGTCGCGCATATTCATCGAGATCGGGTATTGAGACTTCTGAGCCAGCAGGCACGTGTGAAAGGACGCCAAAGGATTGTGTCTGGTCGGCGCCGGTGAGGGCATGTCGCAATGAGGTGGCGAACGGGTCGGTGACTTTGTAGGCGCGGACGTTATCCGCTGTGACAGTGTTGGAGAGGATATGCAGTCTCCCTAGGATGGAGAGCGCATTGTCGCGTTCTCTGTGTGAGGCTTGTGTTAATCACAATCACCGCGGAGACCCTTCCAGGGTGCTTGCCCAGCACTTACTTCAAGCTTTCTGATTTAACCCAAGCCTCCAGATCCGCCGCGGGGAGCGGATCCTTCAGGTAGAGAAGTGCCATGACAAAGCATTTTGCTAGTCACGCAGTCAGTTGATGAAGCACTGGGATTGTGAATGCACATGCGACACATACCCAGATCAGGCAGCATGCGCCTGAATATTGCGAGAGCCGTCGATGGCTGCTGGTAAAGTTTGTAAAAGACGGTGCCAGCAAGGCTTTCGAGGTATTCAAAGGGACGAGAAGATGGTGCGGCAGCCATCTTGTCTGCAGGAGTCACCGCTGCAGCATGATGCGGCGGGAAAGAAATGGGGCGTTGGAGCTTGAAGCCAAAGAAAGAAGAAACCAACCAACGCCTGGGATTTGAGTTGGAGATGATCGGCCCCAAAGCGGAGCTGCTCCGGCGCGCCAAACAGGCCCCAAGCGCAATGAAGCGGCCGCGGCCGATGATCTCACTTTAAACAATCATCTATCTATCTACTTCGTAAGAAGCTTCACTCTCACCTCTACTTCAATTCCGTTTCAGCGAAAAATGACTGCCTTGCGTTTTGTCCGCTCTGTGAGTTACTTATTTACCTAGTGTTGCACTACACTGAGAAAAATTATGCCTGTACTAACAATATATATTTGCAGGTTTGGGAGTCCTTTCGGGCTAATTCGGGGCTAGAGCCTCGGTAAGTCATAGAGGCAGACTGCTTTATTCATGTCTGTTCTGGGTTCAGCTTACTGACTGGACCTCAATGGAATTGGTGATCTAGTCTGCTAGACAATGTAAGATTTTATGCCGGGATGCCACAACCAGCATCATCCAGAATTATCCTCAATGGATTCACGTTCAGCTGAGGCCTCACTCCAAATCGGTCCCGGGGACACCCGTTGATACCGGCTAAATGCTTCGGAACTCTATACTAACAATGATTTCTATCGCGCCCAGCTTCGTGTGACTGCTGCCAAACCTGGGTTGGTCAACTTTGAGCTCGATATTAAGAAGGAGCACACGGTAAGCCAGAATCCCGACACTGTTTACTTGGTGACTGACAATAACCAGAACCGCCTGAACATCCTCCATGGCGGCACCATTGCGAGCATGGGTAGGCCACATGCAAACACCGTCTCACATTGAACACGCCTCTGCTGACATCCAATGACACAAAGTGGACCTTGGCGGCTCCCTAGCTGTCGCTTCCCGTGGTCTGTTCGCGACTGGTGTCTCGACCGACCTGAATGGTGAGCAGACAGCAACTTCTACTTTACCCGAAGACCTCTAACAAATTATACAGTGACGTACCTCAGCTCTGGTGGCAAAGTAGGAGACAAGATCCTAGCGGTATGTATATGTGCCCTCACTATTAGTAGTCATGACAGAAG